AGGCTGATCATTAGTTGACGAAGCCTGCGGACTTTATGACCTTGGATGACTGCGGTCACGGGGGAGCGATGCTGTTTGCGTGCTCCGAGGTGAAGAGTGTTTGAGTGCCACGATTCACGCCGATTCTCATTCGGATATAAGATCGCTCCTCGATCGAGCAAACCAGCGTTGGTGCGCCAGAACGGACTTTGTGTCCCAGCTGACATCCGGTCACGGAAGCTAGGCTTTGTGCGCGCTTCAAAAGTAGGAGTGGCGAATGCACATCAAATCCATCTTCAATCGGGTTTTGGATCGCTCCCGCGATCAGGGGATAGTAGGTCTATCAGAGCTAGGGTGTAATAGATTATTAAGTGTATATATTGGTTTTGTTTTCTTGTTAATAAATATATTTGTTATACGAAAGCTCTGTGTCTGTGGTCGCTGTGAGTATCCATGACGTCACACTTTTGCTAACCACCGTGCCTTCCGCGCTCGCTTTGAAATTCCTCCTCACAGACTCGTTCCTGGCCGTAATTCGATTCTGTCGTGGTTAACTCATTTCGGGAGTGTGGAAGTGTCGCTAAACCCAGAAATCCCAACCCCAAATCCTAAACCCAAAAAACGTCAACGGACAATCAGAACCCCGGAAAATATCGAAAGAGGTGAGGCAGTCAGTTGTGCGTTTCCCCGACGTTCGGCTCGCAAACACGCAGCTCTATGGGATTTCTGACACCACTTGTTCGACGATTCTGCATGAAAACTTCAATTCATCCCTACAAATGGCTTTGTACAAGAATTAACTGAAAGCGATTTGTTGCCCGTCAAAATGCATGTGAAATGCTGATTGACAACCTGCCTGAAGTCGCGTGTCGTTTTTTTCAGTGACGAGGCTCACTTCCACATTTCGGCTGCGTCAACAAGCAAAACATGCGTTATTGGTGTGGTGTAAATCCGCGTGAGCTTCACAGAAGCCACTTAATTGTGAGCGAGTTACTGTCTGGTGTGCGATGTCGGTAATGGGAATAATTGTCCTTATTTTTGAAGAAAACGAACGCGCAGTTACCGTGAATGAGCTGTCCACAGGAACATGATCGAGGAATTTTTCTTCCAAGACTCAAAGAAATGAACCGTTAGGACGTGTGGTTTCAGCAAGATGGAGCCGCAAGACACACGCACGAGACACAATGAATTTGTTGCGACATTTCCGACCGCCTCATCTCTCTCAGAGGCGATCTCCATTGCCGGCACGCTTCTCCAGATTTGACTCCATGCGATTTCTTTTATGGGTATTATTTGAAATCCCTGTTTTATGTTGATCGACCAACGACCATAGCACACCTCAGAACAACATTCTCGACGCCATTGCCAACATAAACGATTGATATGCTGCAAAGAGTGGATACGAATTTCAAAAATCAACTTCATCAGTGGTATGCGCAATGGAGGTTCGCC